TTTTTTAGTGATTGCTTTAGGGCTTTGCCACACTCACATTTAACTTATTAGTCTACCTTCAAATAAGATTATACCACTTCATGTATAGTATCAAAACTATAGAGCAGTGTTCTTTTATTTCTCCTCTTCTGTATTTTGTATAATTGTGTTTATACGTTTTTGCATCTCTATATTAGCCACCCTCAATACATATTATTCCTTCTTTAAGTAATGAATTTATTTTAAATAATTTTTTTAAATAATAAAAATTTTTATATTTACTATCACTTTTTCTGCTTTTATTGATATAGTGTAGATCTCCTGGTGATGAATTCTGTCAGTTTTTATTTCACATTTATGTGTTAAGAGATATTTTCACTGCATATAGAAATCTAAGTTGGTAGAGTTTTTCACCCCATACTTTTTAGATGTTGTTCTCTCTTGTGGATTATATTGTTTTTGACCAGAAGTCTGCTTTTGTTCTTATCTTTGCTCTTCTAAAAAATGTCTGTTTTTTTCTTTAGCTGCTATTGAGGTTTTTTTCCTTTATCATTGGTTTTAAGGAATTTATTTATGATGTAATTGGAGTTTTTATTTAGTTTATTGAATCTACGGGCTTATAGTCTTCATCTACTTAAAAAAAATTTTTTTTGCTGTTGTTTCTTCAAATATTTTTTCTGTCTTTTCCCTCTACTCTGTCCTTCAGGGATGAGTTAGGTGTATATTGAGGTCTTTGAACTTGCCCCACAGCTTGATAATGCTTTATTCATTTTTCCTTTCAGCTTTCTTTTTCCCCTCTGTGTTTGTTTTGATAGTTTATATTGTTATGTCTTCAGTTTCACTTTTCTTTTTCAGTAGACAGTCTGTTGTTAATCCCATCCAATGTATATTTCTCTCTAGAAGTTCAGTTTGGATTTTTTGTTTTTATATTTACCATTGTTTCAATTTAAAATCCTCAGTCTTTCCTTAGACTTTCTGACCATACTGAATATAGTTACAATAAATGTTTTAATATCTTTGTCTACTAATTTTGTGATGTGTGTCATTACTGGTTTGTTTCTTTTATTGATGTTTCTTTTCATTACGGGTCATTTTTTCATTCTTTTAGTGTGCCTGGTAATTTCTTATTGGGTGCCTAGAATTGTTAATTTTTCCTTATTGGGTGTTTTATTTAAATTTGGATTTTTCTTTTTTTTTTTTAACGTATTCTTGAACTTTATTATGCAACACAGTTATGTTAGTTAGAAGCTAATCCTTTTAGTGCTTGTTTTTAAACTTCTAGGTGGTACCTGAGCAATCTTTAGTTTAGGACTGTATTTATATTTGCCCCACTAGTGAGGCACAATACCCAATACCTCTTGCGCTATACAAGGTTTTACCACTTTGGCTGGTGGGAAAAGGAACTATGTGTTAGCACCAGAGATTTTTCAGTCTGTTGTTTTTAGCTGAATCTCTGCTGAGCTTTACATAGTTTACACATGTGCTGCTGATCTGTATTCACCTGTACTTTTGGTGGGGAAGAAGCATCTCTTGATTCTCAGGAATTCCCTCTCTGTGCAACTCTTGCCTCTCTCCATGCAGATCTCCCTTCTCCTGTATATTGTGTTGTGGCCTCCCCAAATGTTCAGTTTTGTCTCTTCAGCTCACACAGACTGGGCACCGTTTTGCTCTCCTCTCCTCGTACAGCAGACTAGAAACTCTCTAGAAAGGAAGCAAGCTGGGTAATCATAGGGCTTATCTTGTTTTGTTTTTTGTTTTTGTTTTTTCCTCGTGGCCTCCCCAAATGTTCAGTTTTGTCTCTTCAGCTCACACAGACTGGGCACCGTTTTGCTTTCCTCTCCTCGTACAGCAAACTAGAAACTCTCTAGAAAGGAAGCAAGCTGGGTAATCATAGGGCTTATCTTGTTTTGTTTTTTGTTTTTGTTTTTTCCTCTGCTGCCTTTTGCCCAAAGTCTGAAAACCATTGCTTAATGTTTATTGTTTGCTTTTAGTTTTTTCCCCCTACTTTTTAGTTATTTAGGTTAGGAAGATATATGCGATCCCTGCATGGCCAAAAATAAATTCCTTCTCTGTCATTTTCAATTTGCAATTAACTATTTTGAAAGGTGACTATTGGCTGTGCTCATTAATATTAATTTTGAATTTCTTATAGGTACTATTAATAGAAATGAAAATATTTCTTTTACTTCAAATATGAAGAGCAAACACTTATTCTAGAATTAAAAATATAGCGCAGTTAAGATTATCCATTTATCAAATTCTTGGTTGTCACTCAGTGAGTTTTGTATGTTTGTATGGTTTTTAAAAAATAGATTTTTGTAAGATGTAGAAAAATTATAATAAGAAAATGGTCTTAGTAACCAATTTGTCATTATCCACCCCAAATGTAAATATAAATGTTTGGAGGTTTATCTGATAATATATATTAATCATAATAATATTGCCTTTTTGTGTTAGCTGCTCATTGGATGAGTACTCTCCATTCTTTCATCTAATATTTGAAGAGATCATGTGTATAGTATCAATTGTCTGTCTTATATGTGAGGAAACTAAAGTCCTAAGAAGTTACTTAACCAAGATATCTTTTTATTTAGTATTTCTAAGAAAGCATATTGGAATGCAAGTGACTGAGAAGTGATTGTTTTGGAGCGATGACCTTAAAAAGACTAATTTATCTAAAATACATCTACTAGCTACTTACAACATTTTGTTGGTTGTAATTTACCTATGACCCCTCATGACAGACCAACCAGTCGAGATCTCCAGGTTATTATTGATATTTTTAGTATCAATAAAGGTTAAAGAAAAGCTGCGTATCTGTGAGGGATTAGTTAAGTACTCTACAGAACCATTGCAACTTAGAAAGAATTCTTAATGACATGGGTAAGTGTTCAAAACATTGAGTGAGGAAGGTCACACAACTGCATGTATAGAACCTATAATCTTGTTTTGAAAAATAGGATGTTTTTGTTTGTGCACAGATAAGCAAAAGACTTTAGAAATAATCACCAAAAAATTCTTCATTGATAATAATGATTTGTACTTTCCTTCTTGTAGTTTTAAACGTTCTGGTATATGAGTTCACTACTTTTGGTAGTCAGGAAAAAAGGTATTAGAAAAATAATTTGCCCAAGGTCACACAGCTAGTAAGTAACAGTGCCAGAATTTGTTTCATTTTAACATTGATGTTCATTCTACTATTACACTGTTGTGTGGTCATAAACTTTAGGAATTGTCCCAGCAGTATAGCTTAGCTGCATCGTGCTTTTATAGAGATAGTTGCTTTTTCCCCCTCACCATCCCTCTGCCACCTTGGTCTCCCCAGGCTTATTCCCATTCCTTTTTCCAAACATTGGTCTTGTCTCCAATTTTAAATCACTAGTTTATTCTCTGCTTCCAACCAATTTTTTCCACACTAAATTTGGAAGACAAAGGAAGGAGAATCAAACTTCACATTCCAAACAAGCTTCCATTTACATCATTCATAAGTTGAATGTAGAATGTATTGGAAATTATATATATAATCAGAAAAAATTTGATTGTAACACTTGTACCTAATGTCTACTGTTTGAATGCTGTGAACATTGATTATTGGTTTGATATGAATTCCATTCTTTAGAAACATGATTCATTTCTATTTTTTATTTGAGAATTTTATTATAGTACCGACCTCTTTATCCACACCATGGAGTTTAACAAATGGTAACATATAAAAATTTTTGCTTCAAGTTAAAAAGAAAAAGAAAAAAGAGACAGCTGAAATTGAAGTCAACTATTTTGTTTCCCTCTTAGTCCAGATTTCCTCCTTCCTTCTTCCTAGAAGAAATATCAGTTTGATAATATGGTGTATATAGTTCAGTCCTATATTTTTAAAACTACTATGACGTGCATCTGTAAAATATGTACTATGTTGTGTTTTAGTGTCTCCTGTAAATGTTACACTGCTTACCTTATTTTGCTGTTTTCATACATTTTACTTGGGGTAATATATATCGATACATAAAGATTATTATTTTAATTGCTGCAGTATATTCTATTACATAAATATACCAATTTTAAGAAACTTTTCTTAATAATTGCTTTTTATAAGGTTGTTTCCATTTTTTTAATAATAAATCAATACTGTAGTGAACATGATTGTCTTTTGGTGTATATGTATAAATATTTAGGTATGGAACTAGAAGCAGAATTGCTACGTCTTAAAGTGTATTTTCATTTTTGTTAAGTTTTTGCCATATTATCCTCCAAGGTTATTTTATCAATTTACATTCTGCCAGCATTGTATGAGTTCTTGTTCACATCATTTTCAACTGTTGATATTACAAGGCTTCTAATTTTTTGCCTCTCTGTTGGTATGAAAAGGTATCTTATGATTTTAATTTGCATTTTCTTCATTACTAGGAACATTGAGCATCTTTTCATCAGTTTATTGGTTATTTAGTTTTTCTGTTCTGTGAAGCATCTGCTTATATTCTCCCATTTTCCTCTTGATTGAAACCTTTAATGATTTTTAGGATTTTTGTGCATGTACTGGTTATAATCCTTTCTTAAATATATTACAGACTTTTCCCAGCCTGTGAGTTATTTTTCACTTTTGTTATATAAATATTTACAATTTTGATATATTTTTTTCTATGATTTTTTTTAACTATTTTTGTCTAGATAAAAACATGTCTCTAAACAGATTAGTCCCTATGCCAAGGCTAAGAAGATATCTTATTTTCCTCTAGGATATTTAAAGTTTTGTTTTTGAGATTCTTTTTCTGTAAAACTGTGGAAACTTCCCCTGTATTTTTTAGGATAAATATAAGTTTGTTTTGTTCCTGACTTATCACAGCAAGAGTCATATTGCCTGCCTGATAGTTCCTTTGTTAGGATATTTAGACAGACGTGTTTTTCTAAATGTCTTTAGATTCTCCTCCCCACTTTAATTAATTAATTAATAATTATTATTTTTTACATTCTAATATGTTAGATTCTTAGATTAATGATACTAATTATTATTTGTTTTTCTTTCCCAGATTAGAAATCATTTTTCAGTCCCACTCTCTGTTTATGAAGGGGACACTTTATTGGGAACTGCTTCACCTGAAAATGAATTCAACATACCATTAGCATCTTACCGGTGATTTTGTTTTCTTTATCTTTTTGTTTGCTCCAAGGTCTCTTATAGAATTTTTAGTTTCTGATTCTATATGGAAGAATAATCAAAAATAGTTTTTTTGAATTATCAAACTTTGATCAAATTTACCTTGTTAATGTCTCATCTAATTTATTTAGGTTTCAAGGACTTAAATGGTTCTTTTAAAAATGAAATATTATTTAATTTAGTGTACTTAATTTATACCATGTGAAGTATTTATGCTTTTACTAGTAAATACAGTCATTACATGCTTGCAATATAATCATCATAATCGTATATGTTCATGAGTTTTAAAAATGTCTAATAGAGAATCATTGGTAGTTTCTGGATTTACCTACGCTATTATGAAATGATTTTTACTTTTCAAAGGTTTCATAATAGAAGTTTTCTTGATATTCTTTTAGAAGACAGAATATTTTATCGTTTTATGTACATATTTATCTGTTGTTCAGGGAGGGATAGAGTTGTACACAGAAATATATAGTGTATTAATCTTAAATATTTAAGGTATTGGATTAAACTTGATATGAAATATGTTTTAAGAAAAGGTTATTAAAATTATAGCAAAATATATTAATCTTAAATATTTAAGGTATTGGATTAAACTTGATATGAAATATGTTTTAAGAAAAGATTATTAAAATTATAGCAAAATATGGGCTGGCCCGGTGGCGCACTGCTACAGTGCACCGCTTGGGAGTGCAGCGGCGCTCCCGCCGAGGGTTCGGATCCCACATACAGACCGGCCGCTCACTGGCTGAGCGAGGTGCGGGAGCAACGCCGAGGGTTGCGATCCCGTTGTCGGTCCCGGTCCGGTATGGGCACGACACTGAGGGTTGCGATCTGTTGCCGGTCATGAAAAAAGACAAAAAGGAAAAAAAAAAATTATAGCAAAATACTAATGATGATCTAGCTTTATAATTCTAGATTTAACATTATAACAAATAAATATTGTGTAGGGTATTTAATCCAGAATTGAAAATAAATCTTCTGTGGAGAATAAAACCTTCACCAGAATTAAGCATTGTAGTTTGTTTGAATACCATTTCAGAACACACATTTTTAATACCATTTCAGAACACACATTGGAAATAATCACTTACCCCAATGTCACAGAAGGATAGAGACAAAACTACAAGCAGTGCTTAACTGTCCCCTACCTCTGTGAATTTTGATCCACATCTAGCAGTTCAAGATGGGTTCCTAATGCTTTGAAAACAGTATGAATTTGAGGCATATATTTTCTCATGTATAGACCTGTAAACTCTAATGAGTGTTTTATTGCTTAGTTCAAATTTGCTGAGGAAAAGAATCATATTGTTGAAGGAACAACAAAAAAACACTGTAGTTGTTTACAATATCTGACCCTGTTCTAGAGAGGATTTTGGGTGGGTTACAAGACTAGATTAAATTAAAGATAGCATGTAAGATACGTTTAAAACTTTTTGTGAGGAACTTCCAATTATTTTCTTCTTGGATAATAAAGGTTAAGGGCAATCTGCTTTTTAAAAAAAATTCTGCTATATATTTTGTTACTCTGTCCTTAGTAAAGAAAACAGTATCTTTATACTTCTTCCTGCAAGGCCAAATATTAATTTGTTACATGGCAGTTAATGAATCTTAATTAGAATTATTAGTGACTAACGAGCTTGGATTTTACATTAGGTACTCTTTTAATCCAATGCTTAGATGTAGTTGCTCTTATATTTAAGATATGAGGTCTTAAATTAACAAATGGTATCTTTCTCCATAGAATTTAAATATACTGATTATTAAATTTAATTCAACAAATATTTGTCAAATGTTTTGTTTTGGGTGAGCTGCTTTAGGATACCATGGTAAGTTAGATGTGTTTATTGCCATCAAGAGATGGCATAATACAATCATGTGTTGCTTAACAACAGGGGTACATTCTGAGAAATGCTTTGTTAGATGATTTCATTGTTATGCAGACATTGTACTGTGTACTTACAGAAACCTAGATGGTACATACTTAGGCTATATGGTATAGCCACTGTCATGTATGTGGTGTGTTGTTGACTAAAACATCGTTATGTGGCACATGAATGTATTATGTAAATACAAAAAGTAGGAAAACAGTGGGTTGTAGAAAATTACAAAAAGTGTTATAGTTGCAGAATATTGTGGAAAACAAGGAAGGGATCAATGACTCATGAGTAAGGTACATGAAGTACAGGTAAAGTACAGTAATGTGAAGATTAGATGGGGAGAGCAATATAAGTGGAAAGAATTGAATATACAAAAATAAGGAGGCGTGAAAGCATAAAGTGTAGAGTGCATGCTGGAAGAATAAATTTGGAGGATAGTTGAAGTTCACATTTAGGTAGTTGCTCCCTCATTTTCTTGCTCCCATAGTTTAAAGTTTTATCTTCATCTATTAATATCATCTATTTTTTCCTTCCTGTCTCAAACTTTTGATGTTCTTCTGTTTCAAGACCATTCATTGTACCATCTGTTTTCCTTTAGTACCTCCTGCCCTTGATTATCTTTCTGTCCTGTTTTTCTCCTCCTTGTTCATTTCTTTAACTTTCCTTTAACCTTGTATATTTCTCTAACTCGGTCTTCTCTTCAGAACACAGCTTCTAGGGAAAATTGTCACATTTACAAAAGATCCTGCATTCTGTCTAGAAAGAATTGACCACATGCCCCCAGTCTACTCTATACATGTTTTTTGGTACCAGTTACAGTTATTTTTTAATATTACATTTCCCATCTGATTGTGATCTCTTTGAGAGTAAATAATGTCTTGAGTCAGTCATTTGTGCATTTACAGTTTTGACTTCTCATTGGTATATAATGGGTCCAATAAATGTTTTGATAAACAGGATGAGTGTACTGGCATTAATTTGGAGAAAATTAAGTTTTTATCTTTAAGTATTAGAAGTAAGAATGGAAAGTAGAGTGAAAATTTTAGAGAGAATGTAGAAATAGAATAGGCTAAATCTGTTAATTGGTTTTAAAAATAATTGTGCAAGTGAGTGAGGGTAGAAGAAAGAATTTAATATTTCAGAGGTCAGAGTGCCAGTAGCTGGAAGTCACTGAAAAAGAACACTCAGAGAAGTGGGCATGGAGGATTCAATGTTCAGTATAGCAAACTTAAGATGCCATCAGATATCATTACAGAAAATGTAGTAGATATTTAAAATTTTAGGACTAGAGCTTAGGAAAACAATCAGGGTAGCGAGTTTTGACAGTCGTTCATCTGTAAGGGATAGTATCACAACCATAGCTAACTAGTTCTACAAATATAAGAATATTTCTTAAGTATTATTCTCAGACACAGCTTAGGATAAAATATTATTAAACCTAAAAATAGTGTTGAAATATAAACAAAGCATGTGATAATCAAATTTAAAAGTTAATCATATGTGACGCCCAGTGATTTTGTCACCATTTTCTGCTAACCACTTCTTTACATCTATACCCCACATTTCAATAAAGCTAAGTATCTATTGAAAGCTTTCATGTGATTAACTTTGGAAAGCTTGTTGTTGTTTGTTTGGTTTTTTTTGATAAAAATATTTTTTAAGTTTGTGAACTGTCATGACATTTACTTCCTGTTAGGACCACATAGTCTATTGAAAGCTTTCATGTGATTAACTTTGGAAAGCTTGTTGTTGTTTGTTTGGTTTTTTTGATAAAAATATTTTTTAAGTTTGTGAACTGTCATGACATTTACTTCCTGTTAGGACCACATAGCCAGGAAAGCCAACTTCTAGTTTTTTTAGTTTATGAACTGTCATGATGTTTGCTCCCTGTTAGGGCCACGTAACCAGGAAAGCCAAATTCTTTCAGTTAAATGTACAAGTTCCAAGTAGTTGTATGTCGTTGGCATATATGACTGATACGATTATATATTTTCTTTAAGAAATCAGTTATTATCTTGTAAATGTATTTTTAAGATATTAAGTTTGTAAGAAAAATATTCTTTTTAAGAGACAAATAACTTGGTTAGTTTCCAGAATGTTAGGATGATAGCTTTTTATGTATGAAAATATAAAAATTTATTACAGTTTTATGGAGGGAGGTAATTTTAGTCTAAAACTGTAAGCATATAATTTTTTTAGTCTAAAACTGTAAGCATATAATTTAATATGAGGTACTTGAAAAAGTTTGTGGAAAAATAGAATTAAAAGATAATACAGGGCCGGCTCGGTGGCGCACTCGGTAGAGTGCAGCGCTTGGGAGCATGGTGGCACTCCCGCCGAGGGTTTGGATCCCATATAGAGACCGGTCCGCTCACTGGTTGAGCGCGGTACGGGAGCGACACTGAGGGTTGCGATCCCGTTACCGGTCACAAAAAAAGACAAAAAAGGGAAAAAAAAAAAAAGATAATACAAATTTTTCCATGAACTTTTTGAAGACCCCTCGCATGTTTTCTTTTAAAGTATTTTAAACTGTATTGCTTAATCTTTTATGCAGATCGCTCCTTTTTCTGAAGCCAGAAGGCGAGGATTATCAAATGTGTGAAGGAATTGATTTTGAAGAAATTATAAAAAATGAAGGAGCACTTATAAGGAAGAAATGTACATCTATAAACCCTTCTAGGAAATCATTTCTTATTAATATTGTCCCAGAGAAAGATAATTTGACATCTCTGTCAGTGTATTCGGAAGATGGTTGGGACTTACCATACATAATGCATTTGTGGCCACCTATCTTACTCCAAAATCTTCTTCCATATAAAATTGCTTATTATGTGGAGGTATGCTGGAATTTTTTTTTTTAAATACCTTTCTGTCTTTGATTTTGTCCCTTTTAGTTATTTAAAAATATGAACATTAAGAAATGTTTTAAAATTCTAATAAAAATTATAGTACTGTAAAGAATAGGTAGTTCAGGTACTCTTCAAATGGAAAAGAAATATTTCAATCATATTGTAAAAAAAAAAATTTAAAAGAAAATGTTTTCCACCGATTTACCTTAGAAATATGACCATTAAGCTGAATATAAATTATATGCACAAGTGTTATATGCCAATTAAGAACTAACTTTGAAAGTAATATATATTCTTCTTAGAAAATTTAGAAAATAGAGTTAATAAAATTGCCTATAATCATACTGGTCATCTGAAGATATCACTTCAGTTTTAGAAGATATATTTTTCATTGTTTTCCATGAATGTGTACTTCATAGATCATATATTTAAAAGACAAATGCTAACTTTTTCATTTTAAATTTTATTTGCTTATTTATTTATTTATTTTTGGTGGCTTGGCTGGTACAGGGATCAATCCCTGGACCTTGGTGTTATCACCACCATGCTCTAACCAACTGAGCTAATCGACCAGCTGATACTATTGAAAAAAGTATGAGAATTACTATTAAAATAACATTAAAGTACTGGACTTAAATGAAAAAAAAAAAAAAAAAAGCCTGCCACATTACTTTATATTATTTTAGTGATAATTTTCTTAAAGGATTGTATGCTCTATAAACGTGCTTTTTCTCTTAATACTCTTTCTTTTAACAGATTAAGACCAGTTCTCTTCTGTTGTTTTAACAGAGGAATCTCTCCATTTTATGTAAATTCCATTTGCTTATCAAATGGAGGAAAATAGTTCTTTATTGTAGTCTATTAATTGCACATTTATTTTACTTTGGGAATTACTGTATGTTCACACTTTTTTTTAATGCATAACAGATTTATTTGATTAAATAAAGTTTTACTTAGCACAGGAGCCTTCAGAATAAAGAACCAAAGACCCAAGAAATAACTGTCCATTTTTATGCTTTTAAAAAAAATTTGAAACAATTGATTGCACAATCTGTGGAGTACAGAATTGAATATCAGTACCTGTGTGCAATATGTGATGCTCAAAACAGGATGATTAGTATATTCAGCATTACACAGTGTGATAGTTTTTTTGTGGCCCTTTGCCAGTTTCTCACTAACGCCTCTCCTCTTTGCCTTTTCCTACCTCTCGTGGCCTCAGTTCTGTTCTCCCCTTTAGAAAGTTAAATGAATTTTTGTGATTGTTGTATTTTTCTTTCTTATTTTAAATTAATTTGTTTATTTTTTTAGTTCCCATTTATGAGTAAGGACATGCAGTGTTTCTGTTTCTGTGTTGGCTTATTTCACTTCACATAATTTTCTCTAAGTTCATTCATGTTGCTGCAAATGGCAGAATTTCATTCCTTTTTATGGCAGAATGGTATTCTATCGTATATATATGCACCACGTTTTCGTCATCAAGCCATCCTTTGACAGACATTTAGGTTGGTTTCAAATCTTAACTATTGTAAATGGAGGTGCCGTAAACATGGGGACGCAGGTATCCCTTTGACATGAAGATTTCCATTCTTTTAGGTATACACCTAAAAGAATACAGCATGGGATTGCTGGATCGTATGGCAGTTCTATCCGTGGTTGTCTGAGGAAACTCCATACTGTTTTCCATAATGGCTGCACTAATTTACAGTCCCATCAATTTACAGTCCCCTTTCTCTTCATTGTCCCCAGCATTCATTTTTCTCAGTCTTTTTGATAATAGCCAGTCTAACTGAGGTGAGATGATACCTCAATGTGGTTTTGGTTTGCATCTCCCTGATTCTTTGTGATATTGAGCATTTTCTCATGTGGCTGTTGACCATTTGTATGTCTTCCTTCGAGAAATGCCTGTTCAGCTCCTTTGCCCAATTTTTAATCAGGCAACTTTTTTTTTTTTTTTTACTGTTAAGTCATTTGAATTCTTTGTATATTCTGGATATTCATCCCTTGTCAGATGCATAGTTTGCAAATATTTTCTTTCATTCTGTAGGTTGTCTTCTCACTGTTAGTTGTTTCTTTTGCTGTACAGAAGGTTTCTAATTTAATATAATCCCATTTGTTTATTTTTTCTTTTGTTGCCTGTTCTTTTGGGGTCTTATTCATAAAGTCTTTGTCCAGTCCTGCTTCCTGAAGTGTTTCCTCTGTGTTTTCTTTTAAGAGTTTCATAATTGAAGGTCTTATAATAAGTCTTTAGTTCACTTTGAGTTGATTTGGGTATAAGGTGAGAGGTACAGGCCTAGTTTCATTCTTCTACATATGGATGTCCAGTTTTCCCAGAAGCATTTATTGAAGAGGCGGTCTTTTCCCTGATGCATGTTCTTGGTGCCTTTGTCAAAGATCAGTTCGCTCTAAGTATGTGGGTTGATTTCTGGGTTCTCTATTCTTTTCCATTGCTCTGAGTGTCTGTTTTTATGCCAGTATTGTGTTACTTCAGTTACAATTGCTCTGTAGTCTGATTTGGAATCAGGTAGTGTTATTCCTTGGGCTTTATTTTTTGTTGTTGTTCAGGATTGTTTTGGCTGTTATGGGGTCTTTTGTTCTTCCATATGATGTTTGACATGGGTATGTTTAACTAACCTTGCATCCCTGGAATGAATCCCACTTGATCATGCTATATACTTTTTTTTGATGTGTTGCTCTATTCTAATAATTCTAACAAATTATTTGTTAATAATTTGTTGATGATTTTTGCATCTGTGTTCAGCAAAGATATTGTCCTCTAGTTTTCTTTTGTTGTATCTTTGTCTGGTTTTGTATCAGGCTGAAGCTGGCCTCATAGAATGAGTTTGGGACAAAGGTCTCTGTTTCAGTTTTTTGGAAAGTTGGAAGAGAATTGCTATTCCACTATAAAAGTTTGGTAGAATTCAGCAGTAAAGCCATGTGGTCCTGGGCTTTTCTTTGTTGGGAGATTGCTGATTACTTGCTTCAATCTCACTGCTTGTTATTAATCTGTTCAGGTTTTCTGTTTCTCCTTGGTTCAGTCTTGGTAGTTTGTATGTGTCGAGAAATGTATTCATTTCCTCTAGGTTTTCCAATTTATTGGTGTATAATTGTATAGTCTCTAATGACTTTTTGTATTTCTGTGGTATCAATTGTAATGCCTCCTTATTCATTTCTGAATTTTATTATTCAGGTCTTTTCTCTAGTTTTTTTAATTAGCCTAGCTAATGGTTGGTCTATTTTGTTTGTCTTCTTGAAAAAACAGCTTTTTGTTTCATTGATCTTTTGTTTCATTTTGGGGGGGTCTGTATTTCATTTAGGTCTGCTCTGATCTTAATTCTTTCTTTCTGTCTACTAATTTTGGAATTGGCTTTTTCGTGTTTTTCTAGTTCTTTGAGGTATATAGCATTAGGTTGTTTATTCTCTTCTTTTGTTACAAGTGTTTATTGCAGTAAACTTCCCTCTTAGTATTGCTTTTACAGTATTCCAAAGGTTTTGATATGATGTGTCTTTGTTTTCATTACTTTCAACAATTTTTTTGATTTTCTGTTTGATTTCTTCTTGGACTTATCAGTCATTCATGTTGTTTAATTTTCACTTATTTGTATAGTTTCTAGTGTTTCACCTGTTACTCATTTCTAGTTTTAATCCGTTGTGGTCTGAAAGATACTTGAAATGATTTCAGTTTTTTAAAATTTGTTGAAACTTGATTTGTGACCTAACGTGTGGTCTATCCTTGAGAATGTTCCATGTGCTGATGAGAAGAATGTATATTCTGAGGTTGTTTAATGAAGTGTTCTGTAGATATCTGCCAAGTCCAATTGGTCTAAAGTGTAGTTTAAATCCTATATTTTTCTGTTGATTTTGTTGGCTAGATGATCTGTCCAGTAATATTTGGGGTGTTCAGGTCCCCAAATATTATTGTCTTGGGATCTGTCTCTTTCTTTAGTTCTAATGTTTGCTTAATATATTTGGGTGCTGGAGTGTTGGATGCATATGTATTTATGGTTATGTCTTCTTGCTGGATAGATCCCTTTATCATTATATAATGGCCTTTTTTGTCTCTCTTTATGGTTTTCGGTTTAAAATATGTTTTATCCAGTATAAGAATAGTTATTCCTGCTCACTTTTGATTTCCATTTGCATGGTGTATCTTTTTCCATCCCTTCACTATTAGTCTGTGCGTGTCTTTACAGGTGAGGTGAATCTCTTGTAGACAGCATATAGTTGGGTCTAGCTTTTTAATCTAGTCAGTCAGTCTATATCTTTTGATTGGGAGGATTTAATCCATTAACATTTGGGGCTGTTCCTGAAAGGTATTGTCTTACTCATGGCATTGTATCAATTTTCATTTGGATGTTTTAAATATCTTTTGTTCCTTCCTTCCCCTTTTATTGTTTGTCTTTGATGTTTGTTATTTTTTTGAGGTGGTAAAATATAGTTTCTTTCTTTTTATCATTTGCATTTTTGTTCTACCAGTGGGTTTTGTTCTTTCTTATGTATTCATGGTAGTGATTATCATTTTTGGATTCCAGATGCAGGACTCCCTTGACAATTTCTTGTAGGGCTGGTCGTTTGGTGGTGAACTCCTGCAGTTTTTGTCTGTCTGAGAAATACACTATTTCTCCTTCATTTCTGAAGTATTGCCTTGCTGGGTATAGTATTCTTGGCTGGCAGTTTTTTTCTTTTAGTGTTTTGAATATATCATCTCATTTTCTTCTGGCCTGTAGAGTTTCTGTTGAGAAATCTGCTGTTAGTCTGATGGGTTAGGATTCTCTCTTTGTCTTTGAGTTGTGCCAGTTTGACTATAATGTGTCTCAGAGAGGACCTTTTTGAATTGAATCTGTTTGGGGATCTTTGAGCCTCCTGGATCTGAAGGTCTTTGTCTGTCTCTATTTCTGGGAAAGTTTCCTCTATTCAGATGTTTGTGTGCTTAAGGTTGTCTACTAGCTCTCTTAGATTTTCTTAATTTTTAAAAATTCTTTTTCCCTTTTTTTTTTGTCCACGTGGGCTATTTTGAAAAGACTGTCTTCAAGATCAGAAATTCTTTCTTCTGCTTACTTAGTCTGCTGCTTAAGCTCTCAGTTACGTTTTTTATTTCATTGAAGGAATCCTTCACCTCCAGAAGTTCTACTACATGCTTTTTTAAGGTATTAATCTCTTTGTAAATTTTCTTCTTCATATCCCAGATAGTTTTTCTCATTTCCTTGTGTTATCTGAGTTTTTGTATCTCATGGAGTTTCTTGAAGATTGCTGCTTGGAATTCCTTCTTAGTCATTTCAGGAGTTTCTTGCTTTATGGCGTCTGGTATTGACAATTGTATTCCTTTGGTGGTACCGTATTTTCTTTTTTCCCTCTTATTTCTGGTAACTCTGCATTGATGTCTGGTCTTCTTATAGAACAGTTGCTTCTTCTATTACTCCGGAGTGGCTTTTGAGGAGTTAGATGTGTTTTATATTATGTTTAGTATTGGTTTCAGGTAGACACAGTAGTGTAGTCACTGTGTAGTTACACTGGTAGCATTCATTGTTGGAGTTGTGTGCCTCCATGGCCTAGGCACTGTGGCATTTGGTGATTCCTTGAGGAAGTTAGTGACACTTTGTTTTCAAAGACATGGGTGAGGCCTTGAGTTCTTGAGAAAAGTGCCTGGGTGCCCTGTAACTCTTTGGCTGGTTTTGGGTGGCCCTGGGTGGGCTTGTTGATGCCCTGGCTAGCGTCCTCTGACCCTGATGGGTGCACTGGGATATCCTGGAGCTCCTCAGTTTGAATGGGTGACCCTGGGCATAGTCTATCTTTACTCTTTCCTACAGGCAGAAGTTGCACCTGGGTCCTTGCTTCGCCTAGTTGGAGGATGGGTTTGTGGTGGTTGAGAATTTTCTTCCTTACTCTATTTAGCTATCCTGGGTTTGTGCACTTTCCAGGTCTTCAGCATGTGGTTTTTGGGGGGGGTTTTTTTGTCCTTTTTGAGACCCAGTGAGCGCTATGAACGCACTGGTCATCCCTATATAGGATCCGAACCCGCGGCAGAAGCGCTGCTTGCACTCCCAGTGCCGCACTCTCCCGAGTGCGCCATGGGCTCAGCCCATTCAGCATGTGTTTTTCCACAGATCAAAGCAGTCATGTGAGCTGCACACATAACTCCCATCCACAGGTGCACTACTGCAGGGAGCAGCATAATTCCCCTTGTGGTTAGGGCCACTGGGACACAGGTCTGTGCTCACTCACCTCTTTCCCCAGCCTCCACTGGTAACCCTTCTTGCGTCACTGCAGTTGAGTGGTCAGTGGGCCACTTGTACAGCAGTGGTGGCTGCAGCTGTGGCCACAGGCCACACAACAAAAGTAGAAGTAGGCCACCCTTGTAGTGGTTGTGGCAGTGGCGTTGGACCACCCATGTGGTGGCAGTGTCTGTGGCAGCAGTGGGACAGTTGTATGATGACACCCTTTGCTTCTGTCAGCCATCAGTGGGGGCTGCCCTTGGCTCCTGAGGTCCCCTTGTTCCTGCCAGCTGTTGGCAAGGGCTCACACTTTTCTGATGTTTTCATGGTGGAAAAGTTAACATACTGTGGTTTAATAATATCTGATTTTCCATATGGTTGACAGATTATCATAGTGGTTAAGAATTTGCACTTTGCTGTGAGACAGATTTGAGATTGCATCCTAGCTTCGCCACTCCCTAGCTGTATGTTCTTATTCAGAGTTTAGTGTTTTTCTTAATGTTTTGTCCTAGTCTAATAAAATGGGAATGGTAATAAGACTTGCATGGTTGGGATGTGGGGAAGATCAAATTAGATAGTGAATGTAAGGGACATAGCACAGTGCCTGAGAGGCACATGGTTGCCATTTACTTACCACTCTAGCACCACAACCATCATTCTTATTTTGTAGAGTATTATTTAATATGTAACAAATTAATAACTCACATTATTTTTACTTTAATTGACTTAAAATCTTAAGTTGAGATTCCTATGTTGCAACAACAGGAAGGAACCAGTATAGAGATGCTGGAAGAACTGGTGAGATATTCAGATGCACTGTCTGTTCATATTTCATTCTCATAGATATTTTAATGTGATGCTTTTAGGGATCGCATTCTGTCTGCCAGTTTCCCAAGGATATAACACTTTTTAGAAAGACAGTATAGCTGTAGTACAGAATAGGGTCTAGAGGAGACAAGGGCAGTTAGGAAACTCTTGAACTGAGAGGTCATAGTGACATGAACTAAGGTAATGGAAGTGCGGGTAGAGAGAAATGAATAGTTTTGAGAGCAATGTAAGATATAATATAAACAATGAATGAAAATGGGGATGAGGAAGTATTAAAAATCAGGAATGGGAGGTAGTAGGTATTGCTTATTTTGGATTACCGTCAATTTTCTACATTTTTCATTGTTTTGTAGTTTTCAAAACTAAAATCACTCTGGTGGTGACTTCACAGGAAAAAAAAACGAAAATCATTACTGAATAGGATTTTTTGTTGTTTTAATAATTAGTGTTTTATGTTTTTGATCTCCAGTGGAGTTTTACGTTATATTGTTTAATCTAATCTTCACAGTTGTCCTTTTAAGTAGGCCATTTGTACCATTCTACAAATATAATTCAAGTCTCAGATTAAATATTTTATAGAAGCTTACCCAGGTGACAGTGTTAGAACTTGAATATTTAAGTCTTCTCACTCGTTCTAACAGGAATTTGAAAAGTACTTTGTATAGCACTTAGATAAATAGAATTTTGATGCATATTATTCTGAAAACATTTGAAAATGTATTTTTTTTTTGTTACAGGGGATCGAAAATTCAGTTTTTACTCTAAATGAAGGACATTCAGCCCAGATTTGTACTGTACAGTTGGATAAAGCCAAGCTACATTTAAAATTACTTGACTATCTTAATTATGATTGGAAAAGTGAATATCATATAAAACCTAATCAACAAGACATTACTTTCATTAATTTTGCCTGTATTACAGAAATAGAAAAGACTGATTTAGATATTGCTATCCATATGACTTATAATCCTGGTCAAACAGTTGTGGCATTTCATAGTCCTTATTGGATGGTCAATAAAACTGGTCGAATGTTGCAGTACAAAGCAGATGGAATTCATCGAAAGCATCCACCTAATTATAAAAAGCCCGTTCTCTTTTCTTTTCAACCAAATCACTTTTTTAATAACAATAAGGTATGTAATGTTTTTTCTTTCACTTTTCTTTAACCATTTGTTACTTTCTTTTAGTTTTTAGAGTTCTAAAAAATAAGATATGAAACTTAGGTAGAAATAATATTTGTTAAATATTTGAGGTTAAAAAAGGATAATTTAATTTGGAAAAGTGTAGTAGATTAACAATATAATATTTCATTTATGCTAAAAAGTAAAAAATTATCATTTTAAGCTGGAATTTTTAAAGGTACCTAAATTGTAATATACTTGAAATATTTTTTCCTAGGTTCAGCTTATGGTAACTGATAGTGACTTGTCAGATCAGTTTTCAATTGATACTGTTGGTAGTCATGGAGCTGTTAAATGTAAAGGCCTGACAATGGAATATCAAGTAAGTTCATTCTATGCTCATCTAGAAACTTTTATATAACATGTATCTATTGACTAGTTGATTAAATTTTATAAGGATTCTATAGTATAACAGTTTTTGAACTATTGAATTTTTTCCCTTAGGTTGGTGTCACTATAGACCTCAGCAGTTTTAACATTACCAGAATTGTGACATTTACTCCTTTTTATATGATTAAAAACAAAAGCAAATATCATATATCAGTGTCTGAAGAAGGAAGTGATAAATGGCTCCCTCTTGATTTGGAGCAGGTGGGTAGATATATTTCAAAATGTACCTCTTTGGATTTTTTTTTTTGCTTGTAATTAGATACTTGAAATCACCATGTAACGTTTTTACTCTCCCACACCCCAATTTCGTTTCAGTTCCATGAACTTTTATTGAGTGTTTGTGCCAGGCTCTGGATATTTAATAATTAAAAATTGAACCTTGCCATCTGATAATGCATAGCTTGATTAGGGAGGTAGACATTTACAGCAATTAGATATGATATAAATGTCTTTGATTTATTCTCTTCTGGAAGCTGTTAGGAATACCTTCACAGAGTAGGTTAAGCCAGACTTTCCTTCAAGTTATTTAAAAAAGGAAGTAGTAACTTAGGAGTGAAATTGTGATTCTGTGCCATCATTAGCTGTAAAACCTGTGGGTGAGAGTTTTTTGAATGATTGGCTGAGGTTGATAGAATATTTTACTTTTGAAGAACTTTAATTCTAAATATTAGGATTATGAAGAAACATTTACTGTTTTTATTCACTATTCCTTCTTGCATATACAACTATCCTTTGGGGATCATTCTTCTTGAAGTACATATTTTAGAATTTTTTGGGGGGCTGGTTTTGAAGGTAGATACCATCAGTTTGTGTTTATAAATAAAAGCTTTTTATCATCATCTTTCTTTTATTATAAATTTTCTTGATATCCATTTCAGGTTGACATTTTTTCTCAACATATTATAGATTTTCTCCCCACTGTATTCTGGCTTCCATTTTTATTGAAAATTATGCTGTGACTCTGTCATTTCTATAGAGGTGATCTTTCTTTTCTCTCTGGCTGCCTTCTGGGTCTTTCTTCTCTGATGTTCTGCAGTCATATTACTGTGTGTCTGTATGTGGGTTACTTTTATTTATCCTGCTTGGGATGCTTGATCTGTGGATTAATGTATCTCAATAATTTCTATTCTATTGCAACTGCTGTTTCTTTAAATATTGCCTCGCCTCTGTTCCTCCACCCTCTCCTCTGGACCTTTAATCAGACAGTGCTAGACATTCATATTCTCTCCTCCATGTCTCTTAATATCTCTTTTATATTTTCTATCTGTTTAACTATCTTTGTTGCATTCTGCATAAGTTCTACATATGTTTTCTAAATTTTTTATTTTTGCTGTGTCTGAACTGCTGCTTAAGCCTTCAACTGAGTTTTTTCTTTGAGTAATTATATTGCTCGTTTTCAGAAGTTCTACCTTTTCTCAAGTCTTTTCATTCTTTAAACAGGTATTTTTGGTGTACTTTTTATGTGCCTTGTAATACATCTGATAACAAAACCTGTCCTTGTGTAGTTTACATTTCTTTTTAAAATTATTTTATTTTAATCAAAGTTAATGGTTATCTTTAGATCTATTGATATCTTTACAAGATGTAAAACATCAGGAAAAGCAGTGACTAGAGATGAAAGGAATGAGGAATCAAATCTGAAGAGACCTACTGTTAGAAAGGGATGAGTCTGGGGTAAAAACCAACAGAGTCTTTTTTTTTTTCCTTTTTGTCTTTTTTCGTGACGCGCTCAACCAGTGAGCGGACCGGTCTCTATGTTGGATCCGAACCCTGGGCGGGAGCGCCACCGCGCTCCCAAGCGCCGCACTCTACCGAGTGCACCACCTGGCTGGCCCCCAACAGAATCTTAAGATGCAACCTTGTGACTCCATTGGATATTTCTCATTTAGTCCTTATGCCATTTATTTTCTCACCGGGTTTCCTTTTTAACTTTATTATACACCTGTTGAACTATCCTTGTCCACCCATTATTCCACTTCTATGTTTTTATTTGTTTATTTATGTAATATAAGATATAAAAAGACAGATGCTGAAATATCCTTGGGCAAGAAGATAATCAGATCTGTGAATCAATTATGACTGTTCTTATTTTTCCTCCCCATCTACACTGATCAATTAAAAAGTAGAAAAATATTTTCCAGTAAAAAACTCACATTTGGACATGCCTAACTGTTTGGCTAAGGAATGAGAAAATAAGTGTATAATTTTATTTAAAGAGAAAGTTAAAAGTCTGTATTTAAGGTCTTTTATGAAAGTGATTAATGCATTTAAAATAGAAGATATGAGATCAAAAGAAAAGATTAGAAAGAAAAGGAACACAAGATTATGCTCTGATTTAGAGTTTGAGAGATAAAGCATATAGTAAAAGGCATTTCATAAGCAACTAATTTCTTTAATTTGCATGAATAAACATGTCTTTTGGGTAGAGGAATAGCTTTCTTTATAAAATATTATTGATATAAGTTATTAAAAGGTAATGGTAAATTTACTATGATTCCAGATCAAGGAAGGTCTTAGGCTGGGTTTTGAATTTGCTGATTGTGATTCTCAAATTTCACCTTTAAAAGTTTTATTCCTTTANATTTCATAAGCAACTAATTTCTTTAATTTGCATGAATAAACATGTCTTTTGGCTAGAGGAATAGCTTTCTTTATAAAATATTATTGATATAAGTTATTAAAAGGTAATGGTAAATTTACTATGATTCCAGATCAAGGAAGGTCTTAGGCTGGGTTTTGAATTTGCTGATTGTGATTCTCAAATTTCACCTTTAAAAGTTTTATTCCTTTAGATCTTGAAGACCTTTGTCCTTTCGAGGTTCCCAGTAAAAATGCAACTATTTCTGGAAAAAAAAAAATATTTTATTTTATTTTTATTTCTATTTTTTATTGGGATGTAGTCGATTGTACATACCTGTGGGGTATAGCATTGAATATCATTACCTGTGTGCAATATGTGATGTTTGATTCAGGATAATTAGTATATTCATCATTATGCAGCGTAATCAATTTTCATGGCCCTTTACCAATTCCTCCTTTTCCGCCCTCCCTCTCCCGCTTCC